AGTATAAAAGTTGTTAATGAACTACTTTACCTGGTTTTCATAGAAATCTTCAAAATATTTTATAGTTATAGCACATTTCTATTTGGTTGCTAAACTTTTGTGGGAAATCATCTGTATTTAGAATTGATAAAATTTCCAACCAAAAGTAGCTTCATCTATCCAATTTGTTGTAAGCATACTAGGCTTCCTAATAACTGAATTTTTATTATTATTATTGTGAAAATACCATACAGAGGGGTTACTATTACATGGGCAAGATAGCGAGTACATTTCTTGTCAAGCATTGTTGCCTCCTCCTTTGTTTCCCCTTCCCATCCCTTCCCATCCCTTCCCATACCACTCCCCCTGCCCCCAACTGAATATTTTTTAAACTGAATTAAAATTAAATAACAATTTCAACTGTAAATCCTCTGTATGTCACCTGTATAATAACAATAAAGAAATGGGGGGAAAAGCCCAAAAGAAAGTAAATAACAATTGGAAAACTCAGTTTTTCAGTGTCACTAGTGACCTCCATAGCCACATGTGGTTAGTGGCTATTGGAATTACATGCATACATACATACATACATACATTTTTTTTTTTTTGGGTCCGGTCGTGGGGCCTGAACTCTGGGCCTGGGCACTGTCCCTCAGCTCTTCAGCTCAAGACTAGCACTCTACCACTTGAGCCACAGCGCCACTTCTGGCTTTTTTTTTCTTTTTGCTTATGTGGTGCTGAGGAATCGAACCCAGGGCCTCAGGCATGCAAAGCAAGCGCTCTACCACTGAGCCACCTTCCCAGCCCCATACATATATCTTAAATATATATATATATATCATATATATTTATCTTATATATAAAGATCTATCTATCTGCGCTGGGAAGGTAGTTCAGTGGTAGAGTGCTTGCCTTACATGCATGAGGTCCTGGGTTCAATTCCTCAGCACCACATAAGCAGAAAAAGCTGGAAGTGGTGCTGTGACTCAAGTTTAGCCTTGAGCTGAAGAACTAAGGAACAGCACCCAGGCCCAGCATTCAGGCCCAGTGAATGACCAAAAAAAAAAAAAATCTATGTATCTATAAGTAGTGGTTCAGAGGGGTTTCAATTCAATGTCAATTGATGAGTACATACATCTTGACCAATGTTCCAGTACAATTTTAGAGACAGCAACAGCCGTGCCCATTGTTCATTGCCTATTTACTTTGGCCAGATCCTAGGCTGAACAGCAAGGGAGGTCAGATCAGAGTTCAATGTCCATGTTCCTAAATTTAAATCTTGCATGATGGTTCTCCTGTGGGCATAGCCTTCTTATCAGAGCAGGGTTACACAAATGTCCAGCTCAGGACCAACCAGAGGAGGATACTCTCTATCTGTTGTTGCTCATCCCTGGGAACTCTGGAAAGGCTCCTTAGCTGTGTAGCTCATGGCAGATTAGGTTTCAATCAGGACTCCTGGGGTTCTCCACATGAAATAGTATAGCTATTCCTAGAAGAATTTTTCCTTTTTTTTTTTTTGGTTATTGTTGCTAGTCCTTGGACTTGATCTCAGGGCATTGGTGCTGTCCCTGAGTTTCTTTTTGCTCAAGGCTAGCGGTCTATCACTTGAGCCACAGCTTCACTTCCAGCTTTTATTTTTGGTAGTTTAGTAGAGTCTCAAAGACTTTCCTTCCTGGGCTGGCTTTGAACTGGGATCCTCAGATTTCTGCCTCCTGAGTAGCTATGATTACAGGTATGAGCCACTGGCACCCAGTTGAACTTCCTTGTTTTGGTGTGTATGTGGGGGTGGGGGTGGGGGGTGAAGGTCAGTTGTGGGGCTTGAATTCAGGGCTTGGGTGCTGTCCCTGAGCTCTTTTGCTCAAGGCTAGCAGTAGTTAATTGGAGATAAGAGTCTCAGGGACTTTCCTGCCCAGGCTGACTTTGAACTGCAATCCTCAGATCTCAGCATTCTGAGTAGCTAGTATTACAGGCACCCGTCTACTAATGACTTTCTTAACTGGGTAAAAATTAGAATTTTTTTTGTGGTTAAATTTATTTTATATTTCTGCACATGATAATTAGAAGAAAGTAGAGTCCATTGGTTTGTAAATCAGTGAGGTTATATTTCCTAAAAATTTACTTGTAAAACAGTTTTTAGAGTTTAACTTCCATCCTGTAGAAGTATTTTAAAATAAAAATATTCACAAAGTGTCTGCTTTTAAAGGGTATGTGTATGATATATATATATATATATTTTTTAAAATACATCATAAAGATTGCCACAAGGTGGCACTAAAATCTAATGAAAATTCCACTCTGGTCTGGTGTTTAAGGAGTGGGGAGGGATTTGCAGGATACACTGGTCAACAAAACAAAACAAACAAAAACCTAAACAAAGGCCAATTAAATTGGGTTAAGTGTTTCTAATAGATTAATATCTTCTTCTGCTTGAAAGATAATTTCCTTTTCTCTCACTGGCATGGATGCATAGTCTGTTATACTAATCTATATGTTAATAAACTCATGCCGATGATTTTTCTCATAGGAGAGTTACGCGTTGTCTTTGCCTTTCAGTGGAGTACATTATGAAGGGTAGGGTAGGGAGGAGACTTGTGTGGCATATCTCCTAGTTTGGAAAAGTTTATCCTGTAAGTGATATGGTCTTTGAAGTAGCCAGTCTCTGTAGGAGCTGGTCAAATGAAAAAAAAAAAAGAAAGAAAGAAAGAAAAAAGAATCCCATACAAAGAAGCTGCTATAGAACGTGGATTTTTCTGTTTGTTTATTTTGGCATGTTTGCCTACCTCATATTTTTAGCAATTATTTCGATGTAGAGCTTCAAGCTTGGAATACTTCATACAGCATGTCTGGAAATCAGGAAACACATGAATTTAACCCCTCTTCCTGAATCTTTGTATTTTTTTAAAAAACATAGTTCAAAGCTTTGTTTTGTATTTTCTTAATATTTGGAATTTAGAGCCGTAGCCAAGATTCCCAGGCTATATTAAGATCAAGGAAAGCAGGGTTAACAATACAGCCATAAAAAGTTTTGACTAAAAGAAGAAAAATATGTGTAGATAAGATTTTTCTAACAGGCAAGGCAAAAGAAATTCCAGATTGAAGCCCTAAGCCAATGACTGACAAGATTATTTAGTTGCCAGTCTAGTTCCTTGGGCTTACAAAACAAAAATAAAATGAAAGAAAAAGTTGGGCCTTAGAGCAGCTAGTCCAATGTAAAGGAAGACTAGCACTTCCTGGGCTTTGAGTAAGATGTCCCCTATAGGATAGGCTCCTAGGGTTGAGATGCTGACCTGATTGTGTCTGTAAAGCCACATAGAAACCTAGATCTCTATACACGAAGTAGTTGTAAAAATCACCTATGCTCTGGCATGGGACTCCGTTAGATGATTCCTAAAGCAGAATGTACAGTGGAAGTAGGAATCCTCTAGTAAGTTCTAACTGAGGTTTTGAGTACTTGAGTTAACTCTCCACAGTCATTTACTGTTCCAAAGAAGATTCAAATTCCTGGGCTCCTGCAATCCTCCTGCTTCAGCCTCCTCAGTAGCTGACACTACAGGCACCTACCTCCATACTTGCAACTTACAGATATCTTGCAAAGGGCCAGACATGGTGGCAGGTCTTCAAGATGTTGGGATGAGACAAAATCCTGGTTCTCTGACGACGGATAGTTTCAGAGTGAGACAGAGAAACGAGGTATAACCTCAAGGTAACTCGTGAGTCTTCCCTGCGGAAAGCGGATGCATACCGTTTCCACCATCTTGGATGTAGTCCCAGGCTTAGCTTGTTTCTGCCCTCCACAATGAGTCCCAATGAGTTTCAACTGTGTCTTTCAAGTGCAACTACTAAGCTATTCTCTACTCTTAGAGGGTGTCTGTCCACTTTTCTGCCCTTCTAGATGTTCCTACCCACTCCTCACCACTTCTTTAGACGGTTGCAAAGGACTGACCTGGGTCCCTCTACATGGGGAGTTGGGTAACATCTCCTGTAGGACAAGATCAAGGGTAGCTTGTGTGGATGACTTAAGTCCTGGTGTGTATTGAGAGGTAACACCCACCACACAATAACTTACTGTGTGCCCAATTGCAAGGCTCCTCCAGCTCTGCTCACTGTCCCGGCTTTAAGCCATTTCATCTGTTCATTTGGGTTTGGGGTGACTGGAACTTCTCATACTCTTTATTTCAGACACTTCTCTGGCTTGATCAGGATCAGAACTAATCCTGTGAAGCAGGGTGCAGGCTGCCTCTCTTGAGCAGATAACTTCCTCCTAGCTGACTGGCCTCTACCCACGGTTTCCACGGTCCTGAGGCAGCACCCTGTAGTGTTCCTACCCCTCAACTTCACCTAGAGAAGTAAAGACAGGTTAGGACGCTCCACTCAGGACCACACAATTTGCAGTCTTCCTAGGTTGTATATCCCAGGGCAAGTATAGTAGGGTTGGGGGGGGGGTCTGGATCACAGGTGGTCTCCTAAAAGAAAAATAAATAAATGGCAAACCTTTTTGCTTGGAGACGCAAGTGTGTATTTGTATGGCTATTGACTTAAAAACAAAACCGTGTTCCAGGAGCCGCCCCTCCCCCACAGGCTTGGCCCCCTCCCCCTCCCCCACCCCTGCTCCTCGGGAGTTCGCTAGGAAACCGCGCAATTCTGAAAAGGAGGGACTGGCCAACGCCGCACCAAGTGCGTCCTGCTTGGGCACTGCTAGCCCCGGCCGGGAGGACCCCGAACAACCAGCTGCGGAGCCCCACACTCGGCAGAAACGGTAGCAGAGGCCGGGACCCGGGAGGAGAAAGAGCCCGGCGGGGACCCCCCGGCTGCGCAGACTCCCCAGTAGCCGCCTCTCCCAGCCCCGCGGCCTGGGCCGTCAATCAAGCCTGCTCCGCCCCGGCTTTGGTTGTAGCAGACGGCCAATCAGAGCCAAGATCCGCAGCGATGAGCTCAGCCGGCTCGCTTCCCATTGGACGGCTATATTAAGAAAGTGGCCGGACTCTTTAAATAGCAGGCGCTAGGGCCGCAGCCCGCATCTGCCACCGCAGTTGGACCGTAGACGTCAGCAGTCCTGTAGGCGAGGTCTCTGAGAGACCCGGGAGGGAGGAGGGAGGAAGGGAGGAGAGGCCGTGTCCGCGCCCGCGCCGTTGCGCACAAAGCCGCCGACCCCAGGGCCGGGATCCGAGGAGCAGCCACCGCCCCGGGAGCAGCGCGGCGAGACGCTGGGCGCCCCCTATGCCCCCGCGCCCCCGCCGCCCCCGCCGCGGCAGCCGGAGCGCACCGAGAGGACGCGTCGCCGCGGAGCCCGGGTGCAGCTAGCGGCCCCCGTCCCCGGCGGCGGAGCCCCAGGTGAGCGGTGAGCGGCGATCGGGACGGCGGCGAGGCGTTTGCGGGCCCCCTCCTGCTGCCCGGGCCCGGCCCGCTCATGGCGGCCATCCGCAAGAAGCTGGTGGTGGTGGGCGATGGCGCGTGTGGCAAGACGTGCCTGCTGATCGTGTTCAGTAAGGACGAGTTCCCCGAAGTGTACGTGCCCACGGTCTTCGAGAACTACGTGGCCGACATCGAGGTGGATGGCAAGCAGGTGGAGCTGGCGCTGTGGGACACGGCTGGCCAGGAGGACTACGATCGCCTGCGGCCGCTCTCCTACCCGGACACCGATGTCATCCTCATGTGCTTCTCGGTGGACAGCCCGGACTCGCTGGAGAACATCCCCGAGAAGTGGGTGCCGGAGGTGAAGCACTTCTGCCCCAACGTGCCCATCATCCTCGTGGCCAACAAGAAAGACCTGCGCAGCGACGAGCACGTCCGCACCGAGCTGGCCCGCATGAAGCAGGAGCCCGTGCGCACGGACGACGGCCGCGCCATGGCCGTGCGCATCCAAGCCTACGACTACCTCGAGTGCTCCGCCAAGACCAAGGAGGGCGTGCGCGAGGTGTTCGAGACGGCCACGCGCGCCGCGCTGCAGAAGCGCTACGGCTCCCAGAACGGCTGCATCAACTGTTGCAAGGTGCTATGAGGGTCTCGCCTGCCCCTCCGCCCCTGCCAGCGCGGCTCCCCCTCCCCGTCCCGCCCCCCCCCCGCCCGCCACGAGCCGGCCGAGGAGGGGGGGAGGAGGAGATCCACGGGCCCCCTTTCCTCCCATGGACCCTCCACGGACTGCCTGGCATCTGCTGGCGGCTCTGGTTTGTCACGCCAAGAACTGGCCTGGGCATCGGGCGCCCCCTGTCCAGCGTCTGTCTGTATGCGACGGAGCGGAGCCGCACAGGCCTGGGCGGCCCTCCACCCCAACCCTCCTCACCTCCCCCGAGTGCCAAGAGGGTCCCTGAGCATCCTTGTCTGAAGAGCCAGGCCTCAGAATGTGTGACTGCGTGTAGGTTGGACTCCCCCGCCCCATCTTCACCCCCACCCCGGCCTCTGGTTCCCAGGGGGCACGTTGGGCTCCAGAGCGCGGCCGCGCCCCATCAGATGTCCACCCCATTACCAGCCAGTGCGATCTGTTCCTTGTCTGTAACATAGACCCTGGGAACTGCGGGAGGGGAGGGCTGGGGAGGACGGGGGTGGGGAGGGGTGTTACATAAATATAGATATAATTTTATTTTCGGAGGTAAGATGGTGTTATTTAATGGTGTGGTGAGCCAAGCGGCTAGGGCGTTCCAGGCTGGATTGGTGCCCATCCCAAGCATGAATTGGACTTGACCATCTTTCTGACCACTGGTGATATTTGCAACTGACTGGGGGCTGAGAGGAAGCAGCCTCTCCACACGGCGCCTCCTGAGGGCCAGCCCCCAGCGAACCCCTCCACCAGCCAGCGGCGGGCGGAGGGAGGGTGTGCTGTGGGGTTGTTTTTGCCATAAGCGAACTTTGTGCCTGTCCTACAAAGTGAAAAATTGTTCAGTCTAAGAAACTGATGTTCTTTGATTTATTTAAGGCTAAAACTTTTTTTGTTGTTGTTGAAAGAATTCTTTGCACAATTGTTTCATTGTTTGAGACTTAATGCACTTGTCATTTGCATAAGACAGTAGCATTCAGACCACACTTGTATGCTGTAACCTCATCGGACTTTTTTTTTTTTTATGATGATGACTTTTAAAATTAGGAGAGGGGGAAGGAAAACCCTACTAATTTTTGCTTTGTTTTCTTGAAAAAAGTGGTAACACTGTTTTGTGATTTTTATCTGTGCAGAGTATGCACAGTATTTTGATAAAGGAAGGTAACACATATTGGGGCCTATTTAAAACTTTTCTTTTTCACAAGGCAATGTCTACAGCGATGTGAATTTTTCTGTGCATTTCTGTACAGAGAACAGACCCCCTCCCCCATTTCCTTTTCCCCTTCCCTTCCCAGTGGTACTTCTACTAAAATTGTTGTCTTGTTTTTTATTTTTTAAATAAACTGACAAATGACAAAGTGGTGAGCTTATGATGTTTACATAAAAGTTCTATAAGCTGTGTATACAGTTTTTTATGTAAAATATTAAAAACTATGATGATGACATTTATAAATGGCTCCTGTGGTTTAATAGTGTATAAAACACTCTTTGTGAATTTAGAACAAGGGAAAACTTCTACTCAGTAAGATTTTTTTTTCCTTAACAGTACATAGCTCCATTTCTCCAGTAGTGAGTATAAGAAATGAGGGTTGACATCCCTTTGGAGAGTGAGGCTTGGGGGACCCAGGATGACCAGATTGTTCCTTTCACATTCCCAGAGGAAGATAAGAGGGTTCCTTAAACTCTCAGCAAAACAAACATACACACACAAAACCCATCTTTGACATAATTGTGTCAATTAGTCCAATTAGGTGAGTTCAAAGATTTTGATATTCTCCCCATGCCTTGAACTGTGTCTTAAGTCTATTCTAGGACTTTGCTTGTCATTTGTACATCTTAAATTTAGACTAACAGTTTATTATTTTGTAATCACTTGTATGGATTTCCTTCAAATTTTGGGATTAGACAATGCTGGGTAAGATTGTAGGTTATTATTATCTTGGGGGTGCAGGGAGGGCTAGAGCTTCTGAGTAGTGGGGGGGGAGGAAGACTGATTGTTAAACTTGCATCTGTAGAAGGAATCCGTAATGCTTTATTCTAAAGGCCATCTTGTAGACACAAGACATTTGAATGATGTTACTTAAAGTTGGCACAGCCCCATTTTGGAATCTAGTCATGACAAGCTCTAATTTCAGATCCTGCCTTCTCAGAGGTACTCAGGTTGATTGGTACCTGGAGACCATAATAAAATCCTGCTCCAGGCAGGAGCTCCCAGAAGCTTTCACAGAAGGGCCTGCCAACCTCTCCCAGTTACCTAAGAAGTGTGGTTTTGTGTCTCTAATCAGCATATTCTGGATTTCTAGCACTTAGTTGTCACCCTCTCCACCTCCCTCTTCCCCCAGCCACAAGGCCCAGGCAGAGAGGAGAGGTCTCTTTTGAAGTTGTTTGCTTCAAAGCCTCAGCTTCTATTTCCCTGTCTTCCTTCAGACTCTGAAGAGCTTTTGTGAGTGTAGAAAACCTGGTAAGAAGTGACCTCTTACCCACTTAAACATGCAGTAACAAGACTGGAGCTGAGCAGGGCTGGGCACATTGGCCAACAGAGGGGGATTGTTTGTGCTCCACCAGGAGAGAAAGCAAAGCCTATCCAGTCTGGCTGCTACTCCCTCCTTGCCCCTTGGCTTCATTCACCTCCACCCCACAGCCTGCTTTCATATTTACTTTAAAGACAAAACCCCATTGAAAATAGAATGTTTACTTGCAGGTTTCAGAGCTAGCAAATCCCTCTGTACCAGGCAGTGTGGGATTTTGTGTGTGTGTGTGTGTGTGTGTGTGTGTGTGTGTGTGTAGGGGAGAAACTCAGGCTTGGGCGGAATGCCTAGAACTCAGCTCTGTCACTAGCCATCCACTTGGAGACCCAACCAGCTGAGAGGTGCTTCTGTGGGTTTTCAGTCAGCTCAAAACTGCCTACTATCTATTGCTGGCTTTTTCCTTTTTTTGGGATTGATGTATACCCAGAGGATGCCTGACAGCCTGAGTTAAGCTTTTTTTTTTATTTAAAAAAAATTTTAAGCATGACATTTAATAATTTTTCTTTCTGGAACCCACTCTTCTTGCTACATTAGGATCCAAGAGAAAAATATAAAAATGAATTGCTGTAGGCTGGAAAATGAATTAGGAAAAAAAGAGCTAAAACATCTGGTGTTACTGTTAGGATATGAAAATTCATTTTGCACATTTAAAACGAATGTGTTGAGTTTATTTAATTGCCGGTAGAACTGTTTCGTGGAAAATAGTGGAGAGTTTATTGATCCTGGACATCTTACAGAAGGGGCATCGTCTTAGGTTCTCTTTTAATGTCTGGGTCGTATTTCTTTCCTTTTTTTTTTTTTTTAAGTAGAATTAAAGTTGGTTTTTAAGACTTAAGTGTGCAGAAGCGGGGCTGTGGCTCAACTGGCAGAGTGCTAGCCTTGAGCAGAAGAAGCCTAGGGACAGACCTCAGAACTTGAGTTCAAGCCCCAGGATCAGCATACATGCATGTGCATGCCTGCACACACACATACACAACTTAAGTGTGATCAGAATCATATAGAGAGGGGCTGAGAGCCCCAGAGTTTCTGATTCAGTATGTCTGAGTTGGAGGTTGGGGATTACAAATTCTAACAAGGTCCTAAGCAATGTTGATGTTGCTGGGTTGGGGAGTATACTTTGAGAATGACTAACTTAAAATAAGGGAGCCTTCCTGTCAATGTGTAGAGGAAGGAGGTGATTTCCATAGTGAACTAAATTGGATTCTTCTGATTTCTGATGCTGTCTCTTATAACATTTCCTTACTGAGCTTTCTTTCTAGGCTAAAACCCAAATCTTCCCCTCTCCCTGTTCTTGTGCAAAAAGAGGTTGAATCCTATATGAGTTTTGTGTAATTACAATAAAAATATCTGAGGAAACCAACTTATTTTGGCTCATAGTTTCAGAGAGCTCTTCCATGGTTGCTTGGCTTCTTGTGCTCAGACAGAACATCATAGCCATGGAAGTGTGTGTCAGAGGCTGCTCACCTCATGGCAGACAGGAAGCAGAGAGCCAGGCATAGCCTTCAAAGTCACATCCTCAGCGACTTTCTTCCTGCAGCTAGGCCCTACTCTATAAAACAGCAAAACTAGCTAGAAATGAACTGCTCAATGCATGAAACTGCGGGGAACATTTCATATTCAAACCACAAGAAATGCTCTTTTAGAGGTTTTTCCTCCATTCTCAGATTCAGCATGCAACAGCACTCTGGAGTTCATTCAGTATCAGCCTTTATTTTGTCAGCTCAGAAGAGATGGGGATACAGAAACAACAAGACCCAGTCTTTGCTCTCTAGGAGCTTGGTGGGTCCAGTCCCTGGCAGGAATATGCTCATCAAGCCTGAACCTAGCATGCAGGGACGTTAGGGCAAGAATCATGGAGGCATTTGAGCTGAGTTGTAAAGCAGGAATGCGGGATATGTAGATGGAAGTAATATCGAGGAGAGGGAGTGATTGATAATTAAGTCGTTAACACATTGATGGTGTGTGTCCACTTTTTATTATTGTAGGGCTTGGCCTCTGGGGAATAAAGCTCTTTTGAGTGAGCTTTCTGTGCTTTATCCCTTTTGGTCTTTCCTTCCTTCCTTCCTTCCATCCTTCCTTCCTTCCTTCCTTCCTTCCTTCCTTCCTTCCATCTTCCTTCCTTCCTTCCATCCTTTCTCTTTCTTCTTTCCTTCCTTCCTTCCTTTCTTTCTTTTTCTCTCTCTCTTTCTCTCTCTCTCTTTCTTTCTTCTTTTCTTTTTGTGCTGGTCCTGAGGCTTAAACTCTGAGCTTTTTGGTTCAAAACTAGTGCTCTATCACTTGAGCCACAGCTCCACTTCCAGCCTTTTGGTGGTTAATTGGAGATAGTCTCATGGACTTTCCTGCCTGGGCTGGCTTCAGATTTCAGTCTCTTGAGTAGCTAGATTATAGGTATGAGCTCCCAGATACCAACTCTATTCCTCAATCATGAAAAAGAATATTTACTCAGCCAAGGAAAACACAGCTTCTCTCCTCTCCCATCCACAGCCCAGTGTGCATCTACCCTGGCAGGTCAGGAGAGAAGGTGGGTGATGATGGTTTCATTGTTTTCTCTCTGCCTGTTGGGACTGTGGGACACAAAGGCTACCTTTGTGATCACAGTGCTCCTGGGAGACCTATACTTGGGCTCAAAGAGGCTGTGAGACCACAAAGAGACCTTGTGTCAGAGGTTGTTAAATCCTTACCAAACTGCTAGGTCTGTTTTCTGGCTGGAGGGAGAGCCTGAAACTGACTGACCCTCTAGCTCTCAGCAGCCCATTTTCTGGCCTAGGAGATAGAGGCCTAAAGGCTCGAGTCAGTTCTTCCTATTTATTCTCTCAAGAAGAAAGAATGAACTAGAAAGAAAGAAACTTCTAGTGCTCTGCTTGGAGCTTGGGGTACAGTCAATGCACAGGCATCATCTCTCCCTTCAAAGAGATTTAAGTCTAGTAGTATATCCAAAACAAGTGATAATAATGGCCAACGTTGATGGACCATGTGCATAGCATGGCTCTCAGCCATTTGTCTTGTTATTTTATTTAAGCCTTATGTTGGTTATATATTGCTGCACAACACATTATGCCAGAACTCAGTAGCTTATAATGGTATGGACTACCTCACATTTTCTGTAAATCAGGAATTCAAGCACAGTTTAGCTAAGTCTTCTGGCCTAGAGTTTCTTTTAATGCTAAAATCAAGTATTGGCTAGGTTGGATTTATCTGAAGGCTTACCTGGGGAAGTATCTGCTTCCAAACCCAACGATGTGGCTCCTGGCAGAATTCAATGTCTCTGTGTCTGAGGCTGTCCTGGGATTTCTTGCCATATGGTCTCTCCAGAGTGTAGCTCAAAACAACACATCAGAGACAGGGGCTATGGCTGTATGGTGGTGATATAGAAATTACAGTCTTCTACAGCCTAACAGTGGGCGTGATAGTCCATCATGTTGCTGTCTTCTGTTTATTAGAAGCAAGTGACTAGGTCCAGCCCACACTTACTGAGAGGGAATTATGCATGGGCATGCATACAAGAACGTGGGCTCATTAGAAACCTTTATTAAGAGCAGTCAACCACAATCTGTCTAACAACTTAGAGGCATGTGCACTCTCCTCATTTTGCTGATGAGGAAATCGATCCAAGCAAAGGTTAGCAATATGTTTGCACTCACCCAAATCCTTAAGAATTGAACTCAGGCAGTCTGGCATCAGGGCAATCCTGTGGGATAATTATTTGAGAAAGAGCAGCTTGACTGCCATGTGAAGGATGAATTGGAGTGGTGGTGGGGACCAGAAGCAGGAAGATCAGCGAGGGAGATGTTACCCTGGTTGGGTAGAGATGACAGAGTATGGACTAAGTCCATGGACATGGAGAGGATGTTACAGGTAGAAAGCATCATTGTGGTCAGGATTCTGGCCTGGGTGTCTTTGAAGATGTCAATACTATTAAAA